TATATATATATATATATATATATATAATTTTCATTCATGAATTCTCTTATTCTTATTATCTTATACACGCTACCAATCCCTCCTTTTTTCGTGTGCATGGCCGAATCCCTCGTAATCATTCATTTAAAAATTTTCCTATACAAATTATACAAAACTTGATATTCTTTCAATGGCAAATGCAACTAAAAATATAGGTTCCCCGTTCTGCTACTTTCCTTCCGGAGATCCAACCCAATCTTGAACGTCATCCAGTTTCCTTACAGCCTCCATTTCCGAAGAATTCGGATCACTACAATGATGTTCGCGTCCTCCACTTACGTAATTATATATCCTTTCTAATTGTACATTTATTGTCTGATGTTTTACATCGCCTTTACAAACTCACAATTCAGCCTAATTATTCCCGCAACCAAATAGCTTTCCCTTTTACATCCTACTCACACCCTGTCAGAATATCGTCTGCTCCGTTTTTTCATCTCGCACGCATTTCATCTGTCTCTCATCTTACTCCTATTTGATTACACACATTTCTTTATATGTTTATTCTTTGGTTTCCTGCTCGTAATAACTTCTTAATTTATTTTCTGCCCCACGGAATTTGCTCATGTGTATTTTCACTGCACTATTTGTTAACATATTATGTATTTTTCCCCACTATCAATTCTGTGGTCCTTTCCTTGTATTACTTACAAAACAAACCTCACCTCGGTTTCTTTTCTATACTCCCATTGTTGCCGACGTCCATATTTACAACTACGGAAATTTATTATTCACATTTAATTATCGTTTCACCAATCACCAATTAACCATAAATCAATCACAGAATGCATGGAGAAAAATATTAACTAGACACTATTATTATCAATATTGAATTGTGATATTGATATCGATATTAAAAACTTTACAATAATACTGTGAATAATACAGTGAAAAAATAAGTTTGAACTTATTTTACTTACAATGTTGATGGGAATCAAACTCTTTTAACCACTTGACGCACCAGCCCAGAAAGGACTGTTTCTTCGTAACGACAAAAAAGAACCAACTTACATACCCCTCTCTAGCTTTCGTAAGAGGCTATGCAACTGGGTTCGCCAACAGCTCAGATAATCAGTCGCGGTAAGGACAAACATTTTAACGAATGCACAGAAACTGGTGACATTCCCAAAAAATGGAGAGAATAAATCATCAAGGTGCTCCACAAAGGGAAGGGTAACGGCGAGGATACCAATGCTTATAGAGGTATTGCGCTAAAATTCCCCTTTCAAATTACTTTCCAAAATGATCACAAAGAATTTCCAAGACGACAACGAACAATTTGTCTTCCGCAAAAACCGATCAACCACCGCAGCAATAAGCCTACTAATGAATGACATAGAGAACGCCACGAAGAAGAAAAAAGTAAACTATATGCCATTTTCTTCAATTTTGTAAAAGCTTTCGCTAATACAAATATGACAAACACAGAGCAATACTCGGCACACACAATATATGGGCAAGACTTATGAGCTCCATACTGAGATACAACTTGATGCGCGAAGACAAAACGGTCTAACTATATCAGACCGAGTTACCCAAACAAACGGAGGTCTTCAGGGTGACCCATTAAGTCAACTATTATTCATCCTCGCAACGGCAGATCTGATCAAAATAGCAAGAAACAAGGGAGTAACTGTATACGCATATGGTGACGACGTTGTAATATGTTCAGAGGAGATAAACAATTTACAAGAAGTTATTGAGGAAATGGAAAAATGTTGCAAAACCCGAAACTTCGAGGTTAACACCAAAATTAGGATTTTCAGAAATGGAGGGAAAGCCTCACATAACACATTTAAAATTGATAGTAATAAGATATAAGCAGTTCCTCATTTCAATTACTTAGGGATGACACTACAAACAAGTGGTAAAAGTTTCACCAAACACATTGCAGAGAAAACCTCTCAGCAATGATCGCCGTCAATGAAATCAAATTTATTAGCCTCTTTGACATGAATACAGCTATAATACTTTTTCAAGCAAAAGTCTTACCAGTCATTACTTACGGTATTGATATCATCTGGGGAAAACTCACAGTAGGAAATCTATACGAGCTGAAAAAAGTGAAAGCCACGTTTCTAAAACGAACATGGCGCACATCTAAACGAACAAGATCTAGACTGGCATATCTACTTTTCAGAGTAGCATTCCTGGTAGAGGAGCTGAGACTGCAATTCCTCCTACCAAAAACTAAGGCAGCGGAATCACTCTTACAAAGCATGAATAGGAAAAGAGAGAAAATTTGTCCAGAGTTCTTCACTACCGAGGCAATGTGTAACAAGCTGGATGTCGGCACGAGTTGTGTCACGTAGCCACGAGGTCCGCAGTGCATGGTTTTCACCATCTGCTGTGCAAAATTAAAACTTTCCACGACCCAGGGGAAACCTATGAGTGCGAACTCTGCGGAAGCGTCAGCGATCGATATCACATCCAGCAGTGTAATGAAAGAAGGCTGTCAATCAACCAGTATGCACGGACAAAAGAGTAACTGTGTGACTTGGTGATGGTCGTTAACTGTGCTATTTATTTTATTGTCTTACGCTCTGCAAAGGGATTGCTCACATGTGCGTTTTTCAGTGTAATAAATCAAGCGCTTGAGTTTCATTCCTCCTAAAACAATTTTTTTATTGGTGAAAATATAGGAATTACTGAACTATCAAGCATCGAATAGTAGCAAACAATACTTTTAAACTGCGCGCACTTGTACTTATGGTACTGTACTTATGGTTATTGCCTTCAAAACAGGAGCTATGCTGGCGCCAATGCCCCTACTTAAACTCGATGCCATTGGGTATGGAATGGTCTAGGTTTCAGAAATGAACTTCGAAAAGTTTGGTTCGAATGTTCTGTACATACATTTTACTGAATACTTAATTCCATTTTTTTAACGGAAGTCGCCTTTCGCGGCAGGCATTTGTATTTTGTACTCCGCTGCTGGCGGCTATAGTGGCAGCCTGGTGGCAGCGTTGTGGAACTAGAAGTGTGACCATTGAGATCATGATTTGTGAATGTGATTACATTATGCAAGTACGTGTTTGGTGCGCTGACCGGAGCTCATTAGTCTGTTGAATCACTGGCAATTGTTTCTGTTTTGTGTTCAGTTAGTGCTGCAATATTAAAAGTATCGTTTACAGTAACCGTAGTAGTATTGAAAGAAACTGTGATTCAAATAGTGTGTTTTCTTTGTGGACGTAATTGTGAGAGCGTTATGATTATGAATAGGACAAAACAGGAAAGTGTAATTTTCCTAGTAGCATAAACTCATTATCATAATGAGCAAACGTAGACGCACATCATCTGTTGCTAGTCGTGGGAATGAAGAAGAAGGAATGGAGCCAGAACCTACACCTGACCCTCCTAGAAAGAGAAAAAAAATGGATCCTGTGAGTAGTTTTTTAAAATATATTTTATGGTGTGCGTGTGTGCGCGCGCGCGGTGTAAAAGATATTGTATGTGAAATGCATGGTAATGCAGTATATTTTTTCATGAAAGAGAATTGTGTATTATTTGTATTAAAAATGGAATTGTCTCACTGTTAACAGCAAAGTAAATTATATTATTTGGTAATTATTTGCTTGACAGGCTGAGATGTGTCAACAGTTGTACGATTCAATTCGTAATCATAAGAAAGAAGATGGTACTTTACTTTGTGATGCTTTCATTAGAGTACCGAAAAGACGTCAAGAGCCTGGTTATTATGAGGTATGGAAGTTTTCCACTTTGTTAGGGTCAAATTTATTTCAAGTATACAAGTTTAGTAGCTATTCAAAAAAGCAGTAAACTTTAATGGAAGGTATTGAATAAAAATATTGTGGCATCACTTAATATTATTGATTTACTCATTGATTTTTTTAATCCTTTTAATGGAGCAGATAATAAAGATGTTATTAAAGCAGTTGCTTTTTAATGATTGCAAGATTCTATCACACAAAATCATGGTGGTTGGAAGTTTCAGATATTGATATTTTTTTAATAGTTTTTTATGTTATACATATTTTTTTACCCTCAAATATAGAAAAAATGTATTTTTCCTCATAAATGAAATTAGGTCACTTTAAATAATTACAGTTTATTAATTTAATTTGTCTGTACTAGCGTACCCATTCAAGAACACTCACATGTTAAATTCCATCCTCTTCCCTTTCTTTTCAATTTTAAGAGTAAGGAAAGTTGAGGTATCTGGGCCCAGGGCGTAAATGGACCAAAACTTGTGATGCGAATTTTACTTTAAGCAATGGGTAGCATTGAAGGATAATGGCGGCTTTCTTAAACAATGTGTCAGGGTGTTGTGGGTTTTGCATGGAATTTGTTTTAAATTTTGTAGTGGAAAGTGTCCATTACGACATAGTGTCCTCTTGAGTTTATGCAAGTATTACACCGGTTTGCATCATTTTTGATGTCTGTAATACTTTATTTGAATCTTACTGCATTTTTCACACAGATTTCAAATCTGCAATCAGTATTTTCAAATCAGGTCCTGGTTTTTCTCTTCAAGCCAATATATTTTTGACATTTGTGCATTTTATTAAATGTTAATGCTAATATGAAATATTTCTTTTGTTACACAGATTGTTTATCAGTTAACATGAATAGAAAATTTTAAAATGACCCATTTCTTTGCTAAAAGGGTCTTTACCAGGCCAAAGTTTAAACTTTACAAGTACAGCATTTGTGAAAGCCAACCATTACGCTTATTTTGATATGAAATTGAGAGATCAAGACAAGATATTTGCATGCTCCTCAGCTATGGTGTCAAATGTGTTAGGCAGGCTTAGATGTTGGAATGTGGGAATTGTAAAGGCAATTAATTACCCTTTGGTATAACTATGGTGTAGATGGAAAGAAAGGATCATTTAACATATTCCTTCTTTTGCATGATGAAATTACAAGGTAATCAATGTCAAGAGACTTTATTTTATATTTCAGTGGTTGAGGGGTATCAAGGTCCTGGGTCATCAATATGATGGTTGACTTTTGTTGGTGTAAGAAGAGAGATGGATCTGAAGCCATACATAAACGAAAGATGCTTCAGTAATAATTTCTAGAATATAAATTGCCTTACGTGCGAGCACACACACACACAATACCTGTGAATTAGAATATAGGGAAAGTGAAAAAGCTACATTTATTTCAATCATTAACATTTACTACTCGCAAAGGACGCATAAGATACTCACAATTTTTCGCAATATTTTTATTTTTTAAATATAATTTCTATTAAAGAAGGTTGCACTGAAACTAATTGGGTTCACTTAATAATAATACTTTATGCAACTCTGCCCCTGGCCGTTATCAGCTGTTGATGGTTTCGTCCAATCGAGAGCTTAAACGTCTCCAAAGTGACGTCACTATGGTGACACTGAAGCTCCCAATTGGATGAAACTGTCGACAGCTGATACCTGAATTGCGAAAATAGCAGTATATCTTCATATAAGCTGCTGTTATTTTCACGTCTATTTTCAAATTACTGAACTAACAGAAAATGTCCTAATGGTAAAAGCAATATGTGTAACAGTCATAGGATCTATAGCACTAAAACTAGATGTGATTGAGGAAAACTAGTATCATTTTTGAGTTCCGCGTGGTAAAATCCCATGAAATCTGTTGAAATCATTTAAACATATACTTTTTTTTTAATGCAGTATTAGCAACAGCATTAACATTATAGCATGTATTCAGCATGTATTAGAAGCGTAATAGAACTTTGAAATGATTTTGCCAGCACATGTTCTTTTTTAAGTTATAAGCTTGAGTGGGAGGCCCAGTTACCTGCAAAATATTTTTAAAATGTCTAACAATAAGTATGGTAATTAATGTGCTTAGGGTATCTGGGTTGGGGTAAGTGGGTCCGTCCCTGACCCAGTTACTCCAGCAGGTCCCAGTTACCCCAAGCACATTAATTACCATACTTATTGTTAAACATTTGACAGAAATATAAGAAACCTGAAACAGCTGGTAAAAAAGGTAAGACTTGACAAACTGTGACATCCCAAGAATATTTATTAATGAAAGGAAATGAATAAAAGAAAAACAGGAGTAAGCAAACAGGAAGAATGTCAAATGGGGAAAAAAAGAAGAAGAAAAAGGACATTTCCAAACCTGATGGTAGAAACAAAATAAAAAAGAAATGTAATAATACTGATGATAAGACATGTGCAGAAAATGATCAATTATCTGAATGTTACAGTGATGACAATTGGAGTTTTATGTGTTATTCTGATTAAAAAATGAATGATGAACACAATGTGATTGCAAAACAAGTTGGGGAATATGGTATTATTAAAGTTAACAGTAAATCAAAGGAAAATTTTATGCTGTACATAGCCTAAGCAACTAACCATTCGGATGCCGGATGTGATGTGTTGTATTTGATACATCGTGAACTTCATTGAAATGGAAGAAGGATTTTATGTCGCCAAAAAAGATGTAGTTAGAAAACTGTCAAACCCCCTGCAGCTCTGCAAGATTTAATGATATGAACAGCTTCGCTAATGATTTGAGTGACTTATTGAACATTTTTTATGATTTTCTTACCTACTCATAAGATTGATTAGTACTTACTTAAAACTTATTTTTTCTTCCTATTTCATCTTGTCATCTTTTGTTCTGTGATACATTTTGTGATTATTCTAAAAATTGACTTAATTTCAGTCCCAATGGTTATGATTCTCTTACATTATTGATTACTGGACTAAGGTGTGGTTCAAATGATTTGATGCAATTTTTTAATCGAATACAAAAACACAGTATTGGACAAGCACAACCCTACTCTTTGGAATATTATTTAACTTTATTACTGAACTGAGAGGTACACTTGTGCAATTTATTCACCTAGAATATCAAGTAATTAGTTTAATTTCACATACAGTTGCAGATTCTTTGTGTCTCTGAATGCTTGCCCCCGCCTATTGGAGGAGGAGTAGTATCAAAAAATGCCAGTCCAGTAAAATGTAATACAATGCCCAAGTGTGCCCCCCATCGTATAGATTTTGGTGTGAGGAACATTTCCTTGAGGCCGATGGACTCAAAATATAAAGTTTTAAGGCCCTAGAATGTTTTATTTAGTAGTTTTTTATCTATATAGAGTTTGACAATGCTGTTGAGGGTTGCATTTGACATGAATATTTAGATGGGTTTTTTTAAGAACAAATCCTTCTAATTTTTTTAAAAGTCAAAGTGCGATTCTTCACATCTCTATGAAATTCTCTTTCAGTACCTCATTTATAAAGATTGGTTGCATGTGAGAGCCGCTACTGAAATAATATAGGAGACTACCATGATTTAGATGTAAAATATAAATTAGTTAGAACATTAATATTCCATTGAAAAATTCCCATCTTATAGCAGCATATCTAAAATTCATTGTTACTTAAGTACATTAATTATTTACTGTGTAATCTTGACAGTGAAACAAAACAGCAAAAATAGTGCTCCGTTCATGTTGAAAACATTGCAGTGCAGGGAAGGAAAGAATCAACTGAAAAGTTTAGGAAAATTGAAGTACTTACTGTTACATAACAAAGTACTTGTAGGAAAAGGGGAAAGTTTATTTCAGATTTTCCAGAAAGGCATTGCCAAATAAGTCACGACAGCTGGTTAAAAGGGAAAATTTTATTGTTTAATTATTTGCTTGATGTGACTTTCCATCTAATGTATTACTCAAAAAAGAGCCAGAAATTTAAATACATGTTTCCTTCATACCTGATTAAAATAAATCATAGTTGTCCTTCTAAACTCATTTCATATCAATGTTAGGTGGATTTCTGACTTATATCAATTATCTTCAGTTTCAAATCATTCTGTTTTCAATTATTTTGCCTGACATGAAAGGTTTGTTTCTTATAGATTATTGGTTTTATTGAATAATTTTTATTTGTTTGTGTTGTTTATGGATGTATATTGTCTTGTGAAAAATGTAGCTATAATGTGGTTGATGGAGCAAATGGAAACGAATATTTCTTATATTTTATTTATTCAGTTTTATCTTTTCATTTGGTCTATTACAAAATTGAGATGATGAGATATTGTCTGTTAAGTGTTTGACTAATGTTTTTCTTATATAATTAGGTTGTCTCAAATCCTATTGATCTGCTGAAAGTTCAACAAAAACTGAAGACAGATGAATATGAGGACTTAGATGACCTTACCAGTGATATTCAACTGTTAGTGAATAACGCAAAAGCTTTTTACAAGGTAAGTGTTTGTTCTATTTCTTATTTATGGGGGATGTGATTTTTCACTGTCTCTAGTATCTACATATGCTACTCAACTGATTTTGTATATTCTTATTTAATATTTTTAAAGAGAAGTGGTTTGTTACATAAATACAGTAAAATCTCTCTAAACTGGAACCTGTACAAGCCGGAAACCCGCCTTAACTTGAAAATTTCTTTGACTCGTGAAGAGACTAAAGGTATTCTTAATGGAATGAATATGTTTTGCAAGTCTGATTTAAATTCTCTGTTCCTGTCACACACAGTTTAGTAGTGGCAGCTGTGTCTCTCAAGGCGTAGGTCATAGGAGAATTCCCTCCCTCCCTACCTTCCATCTCTTGAGTGTGGGATTATGTGGGGCCTCCCTGCCTCGCATTGAGAATTGTAACCCCTCGGCCAATGTCGCATTGCTCAAGGTCATGCAATGTTATCAGAAAGACATAGTACTCTGAGCTGTGATGCATTGATCATTGAAAGTCGGTGAGCAGTCTGTCTGCAGTCACAAGGCAGTAAGATGGGGTTTATTTTTGAGTTTCACAACCAGTATAACAATGGTTGGAAATAACCGAAAAGGCCAAATTGATAGAAGCAAGTGAAATTCAAAAGCTGTCAAAGAGGAATGTTTAATATCCATTTATTGGTGATTTCTTCAATAAATACATAATAAGTTAATATATTTTAATAATTGTAATAGAGTAATGTAATTTACTGGTTTCAAAACGTTTTGGCCCCAATCGATTCTGGCTTAGACAGATTTTACTGTATTTTCAAAAATACTTGGTCCCAGTGAAGCTGGTCATCATTTTTATTTATTTCAATGATTAAAGGACAAAAATGTAAAGAATTTAAATGGAAAAAAATACCTCTGAAATTGGGTGTGTTATCACTGAATATGTTTCTACAGGAAAATTATAACAGTAATAAGTGCATTATGGTATATACTTCATATTACAAGAAATACTCTGAAGCACATGTGAAGCTCTGAACGTCAAATTCAGATGAATCTCTATTAACTAGGAACTCTTTATCAAAGAATTTATGGAGGCCATGATCTCATCAGTTGTGATATTGTATTTGCTAGGTGGGGTATTCTCCATATGAAAATCGTTGTTCAAAAAATTGTTAAAAGGTTAAATGATTTAGCCTTTTTTAAATATATTATGTTTGCCTCTTTTTTAAAAATATTTTGAATTGATTTTCTTATTCCATAACTATTTTTGCAGCGAACTTCTCAGGAATACAAAGATGCTTGTGATATGTGGGATTTATTTGTTGCCTCTAAAAATCGTCTTCTGGATCTTGATGGAAGAACAGATGAAGGAGAACATAAAGGGAAAATAATCCTAAAAGTGGGAAAATTGGTAAAAGTTTTGTTCTTGATTTATGTGTTCATGTTGTCTAATAGTGAAAATTGTCGATGTAAGTAACACATTTTAATTTGTAGGCTCGCAGAGCAGCTGCAGCAGAAGCCAAGAAGCAAGATGATGCAGAAGATAATTCAGAGAGTTCAACAAATCCTGATGAAGAAATCAATCAGTTTGAGGACCTATTCACTGCTGTGATGACTGCAACTGATCAGGACAACCGACCTTTGCATACATGTTTTCAATTGTTGCCTTCAAAAAAAGTATGTCTTTTTACTTTTAAAATTACTTATTTATGTTATTATTTGTAAGTATAATCTTGCATACAAATGTCTTAAAATAATTAATAAATTCACAGCGTTACCCTGAATATTATGAAGTTATAGAAAATCCCATTGATCTTAAAATGATTGCTACAAAGATACAGCAAAATAAGTATTCTACATTGAATGATTTAGAAAAAGATTTATTGCAGTTAACTCGCAATGCAACACTTTTTAATGAGCCAGGGTCACAAATATATAAGGATGCAAAAGCTCTACGCAAAATTATTACATCTAAGAAAATCGAAGTAGAACATGGAAAATATACTCCAGGAAAAAGCAGCGAACGAATAAGGTTAGAGCTTTAGATATATGATATTCAGTATTGATCATAACTATTTTGATGTTAATAATTTTTTTTATTTTCTGTGAATGAAAATTGCTGTTATATGCAGGAATAAGCGCTTGAGAGGCGTGCAGTCATTGTCTGCTATAACGGCTGCCCTAAGAGATGAAGATGAAGATTCTGATGAAGGAGGTATGGATGAAGAGGAGATGGAAGATGCTGACAATCCTCAATGGCTGCTCTATGATTGTGTGAAGAATACTACTAATAATCAAGGTCAGGCAAAAAATAGTTATGACTTCTGTGAAGAATGTTTTAAAACTGATTATGGTGACATATTCAAGTAATGCAACCAAATAGATTTTTTCATCACTTCAACTTTATGCTTTAGAAAACTAGCAAATAATATTGTATTTGATCACTATTCTGCATTATTAGCCTACTACTATTTCTTTTCTTTATATTTTGTAATTCTTACAAAATACTTTACTTTCATTTGTAATACACATTTATATTGTTATTACTGTATTAAAGGGATATCCTATAAAATAAATATAGGTAATGAAATATTTAAATAGGAATACATTGTTTATAATGGCTCTGCATTTGATTTTATCACAGTGAATAAAATGTACTGCTGTCCAAATGAGAGTGTAAATATATATCTTTCTGACACCTTTGAATTATAAGAAATACTTGAAAATTAAATTACAATATTATATTATTGAACAAATTCATGCATTTAATTGCATGATTGCAAACTAAAATAAAGTTCTTTTAAATAAGTCAATAATTATTACCATCACCTTTCTTTCCAAATACTACTTTTCTTTTCCCTGTTATTTGTTCTTCAGTTTTTCAAAAACTAAAATGTCTCTGATAAAAGAAGTGGATTTTGCAAACAGATCTGAAAATGTAATGTTTTTCTTGTTTTCCCAGGGAAAAAAGATTCTTGCTCACACACAAACTTGCCTTCCAAGCCAGAAGAAATTCAAAGGCAATTCATGAATAATGTCTGAAGTCCCTTCCCTTTTCTTCCCTTTTCCCTTCCCTCCCTTTGCTTCCCTTTTCTTTTTAGATTTCTTCTCCTTTTTTCAAATTTCTTCTTCTGTTAAGGTGCAATTCTCCAGGGGAATGTAAACAATCTGTTCCCTCTTATTTTGGCCATGGCACACTAATTGCACAAAATGTCACTGCGGCCCATGATTGCTTACATTGCTCTTTGGGATCCTTCTCTATCAGCACCTCCCTTGCGTTTGTGTTGCGTCCTAACACATGGGAATTGCCCCTGCTCAGTTTGTCATTCTGAGTAAAAGACAAGAGCTGTCACACTCTTCTGGAGGTCAGGCAAGAAATATCCTGTTTGTACTTCCAGGCTGAAAAACACAAGGAAAATTCTCTCTCGTCCATAACTAAAACGTTAATAAGCTCAAATACTTGTTTTCACTTTAAGAACTAAACAAGTGTTTTATTATTTTTTTCAGGTCATTTACTGAGTGAACCTTTTTGGAAATTACCATCAAAACGATATTATCCTGATTATTATAAAGAAATAAAAAACCCTGTATCACTGTTTCAAATAAGAAACAAATTGAAAGTAAGTTGTTTGTGCAAATTTAATCAAATATTAACAATTGGAGAAACTTTCTGTGATATACATAATTTTCATACATTTTTTTTAATTTTAATGCAGCGTGGTGATTATGGGACTCTCAGCGAAGTAGCAGGAGATATGAACATAATGTTTGAAAATGCAAAGAAATACAACCGTGTTGATTCCAGATTGTACAGGGTAACTAGTAAATTAGGAATATATAATTTATCATTTTTTCTTTATAATCACATTTGTCTTTAGGGATATTACCTCTTAGTCTAACTAGCTAAAAGTAGCTTGGATTTCACAGGTGTCTTTGTCTGCTATATTTTTGATATATAATTTTAATGTTCCTTGATCTTTTTACACATCAAAATTCAATTAAAATTCTTTATAATTGTTTCAGGATGCTGTCAAATTGCAAAAAATTATGCAAGCTAAAGTTCAAGAACTTCTAGATTTTGATCAGGTAACTTTTATAAATGTTTATGTAATTCACTTCTCTTTTCATCCTTTCTTTGTTGAATATACCTGTAACACTGGCCTACAAAATTTAACAAAATTTTGTTTGTATTTGATTAAAATATTCCAATTCTATTAGTTATTTTACTCTGTTAGCTCTTGTTTTGGGTATTCTTTTCCTGATGCCCGATATTCTGAGCTGCAACCAAGCCATTTTAAGAGGCTCATGGCACACTGCAAAGGACAATCGTGTAACAGTGTCTTGTGGTAATTAGTCAGCTTTGATGGACTGTTAAAGTCTTCTACAACATGATTGGTGCATCCATTTTTGGTGACATGGGATGAAACCGTTTTCCATGTTCATCATATAGAACCTCCACTATTCTTTGGGGGAAAATGTCAAATTTGAACTGAAGTAGATCTTTAAGGACATTCTATCTCAGTTTATAACATGTCAGTAGCTCTTGTAAGAGATCCATATTATCTTTATGTTCTCTTTTCTGCAGAAATCAGTTGTCACTGAACTAGTGATGTGGCATTGATCACAAAACATCAATGTCACAACAACATTGACCAAAAACCATAAATATTATAAAGCTGGTTTAGTAATCTATAACATTAAATTTGTGCCAAGTAAAATTGAATTTAACAAAGGTCAAATTTATTAATTTGTTATTAAGATATGACTGGAAACAATTATAACAATGGACAAACTAAGCCTGAGCACCGAGGATCATCTCGAAAGGTTAATCCTCACTTCACTGAAGACGGTAATGGGAAGAAGGAGGAGGACCTACGTCTTGGGGCCATGTATGGTAACTGCCTTTCCATAGTGTTTGAAATAGGAAATACTAGGAGGGCATTGGGGTCATCTCATACGAGAGATGGTCTGAATGAAGGTAGTTCAAACAGCATTAATTTTGTTCAAACACAAAAACAGACAGTGTTATTATCAGTTATTATTTCATATCTTAACGTTTACCAAATTGTGATTCTTGGAATTTTCCATCCTCAAACCTAATATTGAACACAATGTTTTATCAATATAATATAGAAATATTGACATCAATGTTTTAATGATGGTAAAAGAACATCTGCGTTACTATATATATGTTTAAAACATCAATGTATCTTTAAAAACATAATGTTTTGAAGACTTCAATGTTGCATCCCTGCTCTGAAAACATGTCATGCCCTTTTCTTAATGCTATTTTATTTTATTTTTAATTTTTTTTTTTTTACTAGGATTGGTTCAAATATTTCTTTCTGAGGAAGTGAGCAATTATCTGTGTGAGCGAAAATGGATTCAGTGTGATTTCTAGCCTTAACAAAATACTTCATTAGCTCTGTCTTGTAGTGAAGAAATGCTAGCAATATATTCATAAATTCCTAATAACAGGGAACCAGTTTCTTCTTTCCTATTTCAAAGGGTGACCAAACAGGTGGCTCTTTGTGTAGTGATGAGCTCTGCCTCTGCTGTCCCACTTACATAACAATTGTTATTATATGTATGTAAGGTTTCATTTCAAGCAGTAGTGCAAACACTTGTCTAGACATATTTGTCACTGGTGATTGTGGTATATCTACTGCAAGAATTTATTGTTGATCTTGCAACTATCTTCCTTATCAAATACATTAGCAACAGGCTGGAAGATATAACATTCCCATTGTGAAGGGGGACAGCTTTCAGACAAATCTATAAACAACTTCCAATAATTTGCATTGTTTTGGATTAAAAACAATAAATAAATGCTTCCAATACTCTTTCAGTAAATCAGGCAATAATATTGCTTGTTTAGAAGAGAAGAAAAAAAAATGTTTTGTCTTTTTGATGAAGGCAAAAGGGAATTTTCACATCTGTGCCCAAAATATTTCAGAGTTTGAGTCTCAACGCCAGTTAGAGTTACTCTACCTTGACAGATCTAAATTGTTCAAATCTGATAGTAATTTTAAGGTGTGATTTCGGTGATTCATAAGAAAAATGATCTGGATGACATTCTGATCGAGGTCCTTTGAAATCTTTCCATTCTGTTTCCAAATCATAACTGTTTAATCAAAACAGCCCTGGCAATTTTACCTCATAGAGACTGGTCATATTGTAGTTGGGATATTGAGATATTGTACTTCACACATTTTCTTTCTATTAATAACAGTAAGAGGTGTCATGCAAAAAATTGCAGTCATTGTAATTTGTGTGATCATCTATATTGATACAATGGCAATCAGTATGTTTCTTAGCATTTATCTAGCCATTAAGATTTATTGTGCCCAAGTCAAGTCCTGATCTATGAGTTAGTGTCCTTAGTAGTGATGTGGTATCGACAACAAAAATCAATGTTCAAAATGAAAGCATCGATGTTAATAATTCATCTAAAAAACAATAGTTTTCAAACATTGATGTTTTAAAGTCGATTTAGTAACCTCTTACTCTAAATTTGTGCGCAAGAAAATTTTGTTTGCCAGTTATCATGCATATTAACTTATAATTAAAATTTAACAGAAAACAAAGTTAAAAACCTCTCCATATGTGAAATAAGAGGAAAGACAAAGGAAATACCAGGATATCAGTATCATCTCGGGCAAGGAATAGTCTGCTGTCTCCATCATGGGTGCAGATTCAAAGCGTGTTTGTTTGGTCCCAACACACAGTGGTACCAACAGTTACTATTTCATATTTTAACTTCTATAAAATTGAGCATTTTCATCCACGAACAAAACATCAAAAATGTAAAAACATTGAGACCAAAACATCGGTATTCAAATTACATCGGCTTCAGTACATTTTTATAGAAATATCGATGTTTGGAAACCATTGACATCTATGTCGCATCCCCAGTCCTAAGTACATATAAAATGGAGATTATTGATTCTTTATATATCATCTCTACCTCTATCTATTTTATTTTAGACTCTTAGGTACTTTAATTCTTACATGCCCACAAATAGAGCAGAAAGGATTTGCATTATTCATGCAACAAAGCATTCGCAACAACCAAAAGTACACTCATCAGATGAATTTACAAAGACACAGAAACAACTAGATGTGCATATTGCATGGAATTTCAGAATAGACAAGTGTAGAGTGGGTATGCACTTCAAAATTGTAGTGTACCTTCCCAGAATGTAATCTTCTATAGCTATGAAACGAGAGCTAACAATGTCATTTTGTGATGATTTTTCTGGTACAGCATCCTCAAAATAGCTAGAAATAAGACATTTCAATGTAGGCCAGTGTAATTAGAAATTATGAACATTGATTAGGTGTCCGGAAGGAGGGCCTGTGTTACTTCATGAAGATTGTACAAAAACTGAAAAACTTTTTCATTGCTCATTCAAGGCAGGTGTAGTTGTATCATAGGTGCTTTTTCTGTTAAGAACATCTGCCTGTTTTCATAAGCTCTGATTTTCTTAACTCTTATTTCATATTATGGAAATAAAAGTAATGTTTTGATGAAGTTTCTTTTATTGTATTTTATGACTCAGTACACTTAGAAGCACCAGAATGAATTTTTAGAAATCATTCATTAATATGAAGGCAGTGTTTATTATAAAACACTGTCTAGTCTATGACACTGTCTATGATGCTAGTCATAGACAACAGTAGTCTATGACCACAGTGAATTTTAAAGAGTATTATAATTCTTTGAAATTCACTGTAGTCGTAGAATAAGGGAACAATTGCTTCTTTACTATAACTGTAGCTAATACATTTTTGTAGAGTCATGCTTGAAATTTTTAAAACTTTCCCTCTTAACAAATTATGCGACTCTATATTATACAGTTGAAGGATCAGTACACAACACTAGGAATCACTTGCACTTATTGAATTCAATTTTGTTATTGGGCACACCATTGACACTTCAAAGACTGAATTAGTTTTGTCTTGTTTCCTTTTCAATGATCGGTGATCTATAGCTGGTTGAAGCAATAATATATTTCCTGTCATCTGGGATGATGCCATTTCCTTTCTTCCTCAGCCTCAATGCATTGACCCATTTGCACAGGAGGGAACTGTGACTGGATGTCATACATTTCTGGTTGATCTTGATGAAGAATCGATGTCTGATAAGGTACAAATGCCTTAGGATTGCCTTGTTGTTGCTTGTCCATTATGTTTATACGTACTACTACCACAATAATAAAGTGGATGATAAATATTCAATTAACGTAGACCTTTCTTCCATTTCCAAGTTGCATTTTATTGTACTTCTAATGTCTACTACCAATGCTAAGTGCATTGAATTGCTGGCTTATGACAGACTTTCAATGGAAGAAAATTAGGGGGGGTGGTGGGGAAATTGTAATAGATGTCCTTCTTGGCATAAAAGTTTCATTTACTTTGACCTCAGTGGGATATGACCTTCTATGGTTTTACATACAAATTACTTTTTCTGGTAACTTATTTTGTATGTTTGTCTTTCTGGTAGGTTCATTTTTGTCATAAAGTAATCTTTCCGTGTTATAATTTTTTAAAATGTATTTATTTTAAAATAATAATAATAGGACTAGTAGTAGTAGTAGTAGTAGTAGTAGTAATAATAATAATAATAATAATAATAATAATAATAATAATAATAATAATAATAATGTGAAAAGTAGAAAAAAAAAGTTTGTGGAAAGATTTGTGTATTGAATATGAAACAATATTTCACAACACTAGCCATTATATATGATGCCAAAAGGGAAATGAGCAGAGCAAGTGACATAGTCTGGTGACTTGTACGGTCGTATAGTGGGTTAAGTCTTGTGATTTTTGCCTTATCCTGCTGATAGTAATGTGACTGAAGACAGTTTTCACTTGAAATTGCTTAAGGATTTTTTTCAAGGCCAGGCTTTTGCTGACAGAACTTGCATAGTTCGTAAAACATGAATAAACACATGATTAGCTGCTACTGATCACATCCCAGCAAAGAAATTTTTCATTAATAACTTATTTAGTGTTTTATTATGTGTTCCTTGTTTTGGTTTCTCATCATACTATTTCAATAATTGTTTTCAAGATTTTAT